TGGAGGTTTGTGTGTTGCTGTGATGTTGTTACCAGTATTGTAAATGCCAGTGGGGTGCCATGGAGTCCTGGTGCGGCACTGTGGGTTAATGTGCCAGATTGCAAAGTCGTTTCAACTGCAAGGTCGATGGTTCAAACTTACCAGCGGCTCCTTGAAAACCCTATACAGGGTCACTATGGGTTGGAACTGACTTGATGGCACTTAACAACAACAAAAGGAGCACCGTGGTGGACAGGTTTCAGCAGAGTTTCAAGACTAAGACTAAGAAAAAGCGGCACACTATTTCTGAATATCACTGAAAACCTATGAATAGTCTGATAAAGTGCTGGAACATGAGCCCTTCAGGTTGAAATGCACTCAAAATATGACTGAGGAAGAGCTGCCTCCTCAAAGTAGTAGTTGTTGTTGTTAAGTGCCATTGAGTCGATTCTGACTCATAGCGACCTTGATACGGTTTCAGAAGAGAAGCTGGTGCGCTTGAACCGCCAATCTTGTGTTTGAAACTAACTGTGCAGTCCAGCATATTAACCCACTTGACCTTAATGATATGGATGGAGTACTTTTTGGAACTTTCATTTGCTCATGGGACACAACACAAAATTACAAGAAACAGCTGCAAACAGCCATTAGTAATTGGAATGTGGAATGTACGGAGTCTGAATCTAGAAAAATTGGAAGTTGTCAAAAATAAAACAGAGGGCATAAGATCGATACCCTAGGCATTGTTGATGCTATTGTTGTTAAGCACCATTGAGTTAGTTCTGACCCATAGCGACCCTGTATAGGGTTTCTGAGGAGTGGTTGGTGAGTCGGAGCCACCAACCTTGAGGTTCAAGCCAACTTTGTAGTCCAGCACATTAACCCACAGCACCATACCAGGAATCCTAGGCATTAGTGAGCTAACATAGACTGGCAGTAGACATTTTCAGTCTAACAATTATCTAGTTTACTATGTGGAGAACAGAAAATTGAAGAGGAATAGCATCACATTCATCATCAAAAAGAGCATTTTAAGATCTATATTGAAGTGCAACACTGTCTGTGACAGGATAATATCCATATTTCTACCAAGGAAGACCAATTAATACAACTATTATTCAAATTTATGCATGAACCACTAAAGCCAGCAATGATGAAGTTGAAAAATTCTACCAAATTCATCAGTCAGAAACTGATCAAGCATGCAATTAAGATACATTGATAATTCCTGGTGACAGGAATGAGAACACTGGAAACAAAGAAGAAAGATCGGTAATTGAAAAACAGACTCTGGTGATAGAAATGATGCTGGAGATTGCATGATAGAACTTTGCAAAACCAACAACTTCTTCATTGCAAGTACCCTTTTCAACAGTATAAATGGCAACTATACATGTGAACCTTACCAATACAATATAAGGAATCAAACTGACTACATATATGGGAAGAGATGATGGAAAAACTCAATATCATCAGCTGAAACAAGGTCAGAGGCCAAATGCAGACCAGATAATCAACTACTCATATGCAAGTATAGGCTGCAGCTGAAGAAAATTAAAATAAGTCCACTAGAACCAAAATATGACCTTGAGTATATACCACCTGAATTTAGAGACCATCTCAAGAACACATTTGACACATTAGACACTAATGACTGAAGACCAGAAGAGTTGTGGGTTGGCATCAAGAATATCAGCCATAAGAAAACAGTCACTAAAAAGACAGAAAAGAAAGAAAAGGCCAAAATGAATGTCAGAAGAGACTCAGAAATTTGCTCTTGAACTTAGAGAACCTAAAGTGAGTGGAAGAAATGATAAAAGAGCTGAACAGAATATTAAAAAGGGATGCTTGAGAAGGCAAAATAAAGTATTATAATGAAATGTGCAAAGACCTGGAATCAGAACCAAAAGGACAGAACACATTCAGCATTTCTGAAGTTTAAAAAACTGAAGAAGAAGAAAAAAATTCAAGCCCCAGGTTGCACTATTGAAGGATTCTATGGGCAAAATATTGAACGAGGCATGAAGAATCAAAAGAAGATGGAAGGAATAACAGTCACTGTAACAAAAGGAATTGGCTGATGTCCAACCACTGCAAGAAGTAGCATATGATCAAGAACCAACAGTACTGAAGGAAGAAGTCCAAGGTGTATTAAAGGCATTGGTAAAAAAACAAGACTCCAGGAATTGACAGAATACAAATGGGAATCTTCCAGCAAACTGATGAAGTACTGGAGGCATTTGGTATCTATGCCAAGAGAATTGGAAGACAGCTACCTGGCCAAGTGATTGGAAGAGATCCATATCTGTGCTCCTTCCAAAGAAAGGTGATTCAATGGAATTTGGAAATCATTGAACAATATCATTAATATTGCATGCAAGTGAAATTTTGTTGAAGATAATTTAAAAATGGTTGTAGTAGGGAACTGCCAGACATTCAAGTCAAATTCAGAAGAGGATGTGGAATGAAGGATATCATTGCTGGCGTCAGATAGATCTTGTTGAAAGGAGACAATACCAGAAACATGCTTTATTGACTATGCAAAGGTATCCGACTGTATGGATCATAATGAACTATGGATAATACTGCAAAGAATGAGAATTCCAGAACATTTAATTGTGTTCATGAGGAACCTGTATATAGACAAAGAGGCAGTCATTCAAACAGAACAAGGGGATACTGAATGCTTTAAAATCAGGGAAGCTGTACATCAGGATCGTATCCTTTTATCATGTTTATTCAATCTGTATGCTGAGCACAACAAAATACTTTCTGGTCCTGCACCATCTACACAATTGTTACGTTTGAGCCCATTGTCAATCCATCTCACTCCTTTTCACTGACCCTCCATCTGAGCAAGCACGATGTCCTTCTCCAAGGATTGGTCGCTCCTGACAACATGACCAAAGTACGAGAGTCAAAGTCTTGTCATGCTAATTTTTAAGGAGCATTCTGGCTTTTTACTTCATCAAGTCAGATTTGTTTGTTCTTCTGGCAGTCCATGGTAGAGATCAATGTTCTGCTCCAACAACAATCTGTCTCCTGGGTTCCAGGACCCTCCATCCAATTCCCTATGTGACATATCTATCTCTAGTCATCAGCCCCAAAGGCCACACCTGCTTCTCTCCTGTGCTAATTCTTTTAGGTACCCAGGCAAATCCAAACACTGACACCAGCAGAGGGAAATGAAGAGCTCTGAGTCACACACAGAGCCAGGAATCTACAATGCACGTTCTGTGAGCAATCCACTCTGTCCTCTCAGAGGTCCCAGTCCATCTGAAGTCCACACAGGAATAAGTGCCTAAACAGAATCCTTACCAGCTATAGTTTAAATTATATTTCCACTATAACAACAATAGAAGCAACAGCTAATGCTTATTGTATGCTATGATGGCAGTTTGAGAACACAGTTTGAGAGCATTAACCCATTTAACGCTAATCTTATAAGATAGAGTCCTGGTGTGGCACTGTGGGCTAATGCATCAGACTGCAAAGTCATTTGAACTGCAACGTCGGTGGTTTAAGCTCACCAGCTACTCCTTGGAAACCCTGTACAGGGTCGCTATGGGTCGGAACCGACTCGACGGCACTTAACAACAACATGAGTTCGAACCAACTAGACAGCACTGAACAACAACAATAATAACAATAACAACAACCTTATAAGACAAGCACTTTTCTATTTGCATTTACTAATAGGTAAATTAGAAGCCCTGGTGGCACTGTTGGATAAGCACTGGACTAGTAACCACAGTTGGCACTTCAAATCCACAAGCCACTTCTCAGCAGAACGATACGGCTTTCTCCTCCAATAAAGATTCTGTAGTCTCAGAAACTCCATAAAGGGTCACTGTGAGTTGGAAGTGACTCTCTGGTGGTGTGTTTTTTGTTCGCTTATGTCTTAATAAGGTTAAGCAATGAGCCATGGTGGCACACAAGGTTAAACATTAGGGGGCTAACCACATCAGCCGCCCTCTGGGAGAAAGCTGAGGCTGTCTGCTCCTGACAAGATTTCCAGCCTCAGAAACCCTATGGAGCAGTTCTATTCTGTCCTATAGGGTCTCTGAGTCAGAATTGACTTGACGGCAGTGGCTTTGATCAAGTAAACGGTGTCCAGAGAATTCAAACACCCTGCCAATAGCAGCAGGGCTGCCGACAGACAAACCCACCCAGCTGGGCTCCCACTCACCAGTGGCCTTCTCAGACACTATGGAAAGCAGACTCAATGGGAAAATGCTTCAAAAAGTACACGGAAAAGTGGGATGAAAAGATAATGACATTTTTCCATGAATTTTTTGATAATTAATACATTAATAAATGAAAAAAAAATTAGTTGTGATATGATGGGCACACAATAAACTGCATATGTTGACAGTAAACAGCGTAATGTATCTGACATATGTGGGCACTTGTGAACCATCACGTTATATAATGATCTCACGTATGTGGAAAACTAGAGGAAAGAGATGTACCAGAGGCTCAGGATGCTTGCCTACGTGACAAGCTCATGGGTCATTTTAACTTTCTGTTGTGGTGGTTAGTTGTTGTCGAGTCGATTCTGACTCACTCACAGCGACCCCACAGGTATAAGAACCGCTCCGTAGGGTTTCAAGGCTTTTAGAAACAGGTGAGCAGGCCTTCTTCTGATATGCCTCAAAGCACCAACCTTTTGGCCAGTAGCAGAGTGCTTGTTTGTGCAATCCAGGGACTTTACACCTTTCCACTGGTGATGGTTGTATGATGTCAAGTTGGGTTTTCAAGGCTGTAATTTTTATGGGAGCAGAAAGCCTCATGTTTCTCTCATATAACTTTCTAGATTTTTTTTTTTTTTAGATTTGTATTTCCTACAAAGAGCAGGTACTATTTTTTATAATTGGGACAAGTATAGTATTCTTAAGTAATGATGTGATTAAATGAGAATAAATCTCCCACCTCCCCATAGGGGCTCACAAAAGGCTACTGCATAGCTCAGCGAGGGCTGCTTGTGGCTTAGCCAGGCCCTCTGTTGCACCCACACTTACTGTATTTCAGTTCCCAGATGTTTGAGGGAAATATTCTGAAGGGCTGACGACATGGTGGGGACAGGCTGCAAGGCAGCAGCCACGCCCACCAGCCCAGTAGGCGATTTCACAGGGCACAGGAACTCCTCCAGCCCCGCCTCCTCTGACTCTGAGAAAGGAAGGAAAAGAAATCAGTCCACCTGGGTTAGTGTACTTGGGAAGACTGGACAGTTGGGGCACTATGGGCTCAGCTCTAACTAGGACTGGGTGAGCCTTCTTGTAGGTTAACAATTGCAAAGAGGCAAGCTTTTTCCAGTGTGTTCTGCAGTCAGCTAAATGTGTCAGCATCTTGCTGACACAAGCCTTCTTGGAAATGACTTTAAAAATATATATTGAGCTCTAGATAATTCTGTATCTGAGAATCTACCCTAAAGAAGTGTTCTGACATAAAGATAAAATTTTATGTGCTAAGAGGGGTGATCCTGGCATGGTTTATAATAGCTTCCAACTAGAAATAATTTAAGGAACCAAAAATCTGGGGATGGGTTAAATAAATCATAATGCCTTCACAGTGGAATGTAAGCACTGACCACAAAATCAAAATGTTGAAGAATGTCTGAGAGCACAGGGAGCATGCAGGGGGTATACTGAGCGAACAGAGACAGATTAATAACAGGTTATCGTATGTAAAATCTTGATTGTATAGAAAAAGTCTCAAAGAAATATACTCCAGTATCCTAACAGGAGTCCTGGTATGGCACTGCAGGTTATGGCGGTTCAAGCTCACCAGCCTCTCCTTGGAAATCCTATACAGGGTCGCTATGAGTATGAGTCAGAACTGACTCCATGGCACTTAACAACATCAACAATCTCAACAGTGGCCCAGCTATACGATGGATTACAGTGAGCAGGCCGCTCTCAGCTCTCATTATGTTACTGTTCTTTTCCAAATTTCTTATTGTAAACATAGATAAAGGAGTCCTGATAAGCACCCAGCTGTGAACGGGAAGGTTGGCAGTAGGCTGCTTCTGGGAAGAAGATGTGGCAGTCTGTTTCTGAAAAGGTTTATAGCCTTGGAAACCCTCTGGGGCAATTCTAGTCTGTCAGAGTCACTATGAGTCGGAATCTACTCAGTGGCAATGGGTTTGTATTTTAAGAAACCCTGGTGGTACGGTGGCTAAGTACTCAACTGCTAACAGAAAGGTTGGCAGTTCAAACCCACCAGTCACTCCGTGGAAGAAAGATTTGGCAATCCACAGGATTGTTGTTGTTAAGTGCTGTTGAATTGATTCTGACTCATAAGCAACTCTATACACAGTTTCTAAGGAACAGCTGGTGGGTTGGAACCATCAACCTTGTAGTTAGCAGTCCATTGCTTATCCTATAGAACACCACCAGGATAAAGCCATAAGGATTACAGCCTCGGAACCCCCCTGGGGCAGTTCTCTCTCATTGGATCACTGTGAGTCACAATTGACTTGATGGCAATGGCTTTTAAAAAACAACCACAAACACAAGTCAACTTTATAAGGAGAAAAGCACATATACGCATCAAAAATAGATGTTTATAGAAGACTTTATAAGGAGCTCTGGTAGCGTGTTGTTGTTTGTTGTCAGGTGCCATCGAGTCAGTACCGACTCATAATGACCCCATGCACAGCAGAACGAAACACTGTCCAATCCTGCGCCAACCTCACTACTGCTGCCACACTTGAGTCCATCGATGCTGCCACCTGGCCAATCCATCTCGTTAGGGGGTCTTCCTTTTTTTCTCTGACCCTCCATCTGGTAGCATAGTGGTTAAGAATTGGGCTGCTAACCTTAAGGTCAGCAGTTCGAAATTACCAGCTGTTCGGCAGGAGAAAGATGAGGCTTTCTGCTCCCATGAAGATTTACAGCCTTGGAAACCCTGTACAGGGTCACTATGGGTCGGAACCGACTCCATGGCACATAACCAGCACCACCAAGAGACTTAATAATACAGGGAACTGTTAAGGATTGCAGTACTAACAAAAAGCAAGGTTGTTGTTGTTGTTATGTGCCGTGGAGTTGGTTCCGGCTCATAGCGACCCTGTACAGGGTTTCCGAGGCTGTAAATCTTTATGGGAGCAGAAAGCCTCATGTTTCTCCCGCAGAACAGCTGGTAGTTAGACAATTAGTATTACTAGGTGATAGCAATTTTTTTCTTAAAGGAGAGGACATAAACATAATGTTAACAGTGGCTGTCTCTGAGTGGTATGATTGTGGGTAAATTTCTTTTTCTACTTTTCTACCCCTAAAATTTTAGATTAGATAAAATCTAATCTAAAAAAATGATTCTGATATCTGTCTAATGTTAATGAAGGTCTAGGATAAGCACTCAACCTCAATATCAGTTTGAACCACAAGGCTGGTGGTTCAAACTCACTAGCCACTCCTCAGAATCCCTGTAGAGGGTCACTAAGAGTCAGAAACGACTGACTGCACTTAACAACAACAACAACAAATGTTAAAGAAGACTAAGGAAGTAAAGACATATAAGAGAGAAGAGGCGGGACACTCAGAAGTGGAGAATGATAAAAAGCAGCAGAAAAGAACAGGACCACTCCCAGGACAGTGTGATCTTGATCATGCAGCTCGAGAGTCACAGGGCACAGATCTTAGCCTTACTGAATGGACAAAGAATTTAGGGGCAGAGGAGGACATTTATATCTGTACTCTGTCTGCCCAAGAATGTGGGTGCAAAAACATTAAATACAATGGTGGGGGCTGAGGGAGCTGTTTAGTCTAGTCAAGAAAATAAACTCTGTCATCATTAACACAGGACTCCTGGGGTAGCACTGTGGAGTCCTGGTGTTGCATTGTGGGATAAACACTGGACCACAAGGGCAGTTTGTACAGCAAGATTACCAGTTCAAACTCACCAGCTGCTCTTTGGAGATCCTATACAGGGTCACTAGGAGTCAGAACCAACTCGACGGCACTTACAACAACATCACTAACACAATCAACAATATATTTAATTCCTAATAGGCTCCATCACATCTGGTAAACAGATCAATGCTTTTTTGGTAATACCACGAGCCATTTTGTTGAGTTTCTCTCTTCAGCCCATCCTGGCACAAATGCAGGTAGAACTGTGGAAGGGTAGGTGCACACACTTTCAAATCACACAACAACTGTTCTGGAGGTGAAGACAGCTGACGTCCCAGAAGGCTTCCTGAAGGAGGGGTACAGATGATCTGGATAGGCAAAAGGCCCCTTTATGATGATGTGTGGGGATAGGAAACAAGAGACTCTAGCTCCAGTGCTGAGTTAGAAGGGAAGGACCCAGGGGAGACGGGGCTGGAAACATCAAATAAGGAGGTAAGGGTGTGGCTAAAAGTTGGCTCTCATTTGGCTGGAAATACAGAGCCCCTGGGGTTTGAGCAGGCACTGAACCTGGCCAACTAGAAAGGGCCACAGTTTGGGATTAAGTAGATTTGAGGTCAAGCCCTGTTTTTGCTCTCTGACTTCGTTGGAGTCTTTCTCTTCCAACCTCTGGTTCCATACTTTTAGAATTAGCAGGATCCTCTCTACCCTGTCTTCTTCAGAGTACGTGTAAGGGTTAAAGAAGGTAAGGCCCATGAAATGTTTAGAAACCAGTAATGATCCATACCATGGATGGCATCTTTCAAAGTGGCTTCTACTCCAGACTTAATAAGTGAATTCAACCTGGCTACTCTGGTAGCGTAATGGTTATGAATCGGGCTTGAACCTTAAGGCCAGCAGTTCGAAACTACCAGCCGTTTCATGGGAGAAAGATGAGGCTTTCTGCTCCTGTAAAGATTTACAGCCTCGGAAACCCTGTACAGGGTCACTATGAATCGGTTCCGATTCCACGGCACATAATCACCACCACTGGTGTGGCGCTGTGGGTTAATACGCCAGAATGCAAAGCCGTTTGAACTGCAAGGTCGGCAGTTTAAGCTCACCAGCTGCTCCTTGGAAACCCTCTATAGGGGTGCTATGGGTTGCAATCGACTGGATGGCACTTAACAACAACAACAATAACCAATACAATGGGAGCCCTGGTTTAGCGCTGTAGGATAAGCGCTGGACTTAAAGGTCGGTTCGAACCATAACGTCAGCAGTTCAAACTTACTAGCTGCTCCTCAGAAACCTAATACAGGGTCGTTATGAGTTGGAACCAACTCCATGGCACTTAACAACACCACTACAATTAGTCAAAAGGAAGAAGATTTTCTTGTCTATCACTATTTAACCTTCATTATTATTCCTCAGTCAGAACAAACACATAAATTACAGTTTGCCTAGGTTTTTACTGTCTTATCAAGTACTTCCTTAGCTGCCAACATCTGTTTTCCTGTAACGTCCACCTATGGCCATAGGTCCACTCTGAAGCCACACAGAACTGAGTCCTGAGAGTGTCACCACTGGTTGGTTTTACCAATGAGGAAGTGGCATGAGCTTCATGACCAAGGCCACACAGCTAGCAGATGGCAGAAACACGACTCAAATGCAGGCTCTCAGCCCTTGGTTCTACTTTTCCCACTGAACCATGTGGCTCCTAGACGCAGACTTTCTAAAAGCAGAGACAGGATGGGCTGGCCCAGAAAGGTGCAATACATGATGGATGCTACAGTGGAGCTCAGCCTTTCTGACAGGAAATGGTGGACAACCACCTAATGAATTTTCAGCACTAGTTCTTTGTGATTCTCCCTTTGCTGACCTTTAGGGGCTGCCCCATCACTGAAGAAAGTCATCTACTGGACAAAAAAGGGCCAGAGCAGGCCACTGCTTCCCAGGAGGGTCTGGATGGGCAGATGGGCTACTGCCTCCTTAGGTGGGGGAGGGGGCTATCAGTCTGTAAATGAGGGTTCCCATTTCATCTCTAACATTTTCTTACTAGTTTCTTGGTCTCTTTAATCTGTTTCTTTTTATGGGACTAACATTACCTTGCTATGAGTTAGAACCGACTCCATGGCACATCACCACCACCACCACCAACAACAACAACAACAACACTACCTCATGAGATTCTTGTGAGGATTACTGTATTTTTATGAGAGTGATGTGATTTATATTTGTGCTCTCATAACTTGCTGAAATATGGTAAGGAAGGTAATCTGTATAAAGCATTAGAACAGCGTTAGTAATTGGTGTGCATGTTTTTATAAGGATAAACATTTGCAAGGACGTTTGTAAACTGTGTCCTACCTTGCAAACATGTCATTGCTATTATTAATCTTTCTCCTCGATACCCTGGTTTCCCCTTGATCTTATGGAGACCAATGAATGATCTCGTGGAGACAAAATCAAATGCTTAAAGTCTGGAAGGATAGTGCCCCATAGATTGCTCAAGGCCAGTGAAAATAGACTTTTCATGAGATGGAGTGTCTGTGACTCAAAGTCAGACATAGGTCAGGAGGTTTTCATAGCCTGAGGAGCAAGTGGCCCTGCTTCCTCCCAGGAAGGGTGGAGACTGGAGAGGAGGGGCCCCGGTTCCAGTTGAACTAAGCCAGAACTTGCCAGCTTGTTCAGGATTCTGGAAATGTCTTTCTGGGTGAGCTGGGGCAGGTTCCGAGAAGGTCCTGGGTCCAGCAGAGTGAAGGTTTGCTAGTGGGTTAGGAAAAGCATGGCAAGGAAAAGCTTGCACCCCCATTGCTGAGTCTCATACCAGAGGCCTCTGGTCATCACACCAAGTGCCATACCCCCGCCCATCAATGGTCACACAAGACGGCCCAGAAGGCTGTGTGTGTTGAACCAAAGCCACAGAATTAAAGAACTTGGAAAATGTTCACCACAGCAAGAGGCCTGTGGAACCTCACAGACACCCTTTTGATAATCTTGCTCTGCAAATTCCCGTTCACGACAAGCAGAGGTTCTTTATCATGAGGATCTTTTGTTGCGTCTAGTCTAAAGAAGACCTTGGTAGTTGTGTCAACTCAGTCTGCAATTTTCTGCGTGACCAGGGTTGGTTGATTCGGGCAGATGGGGCAAGGGTGATAGTGTAGAAGTACAGAAAAATAAAAACGCTTTCCCCAAAGAAAGCTCTTATAAGAATAAAACGCCTAAAAGGCTACCACATAAGTTGATTATTAACAATCCAAGGAGCAGTTAGTAATTAGACACACACACATGCATATAAACAAAAATAACCTACAAACAAATCCACTGCCACCAAGTTGATTCCAACTCACAGAGACCCTATGGAACAGAGTAGAACTGCCCCATTAGCTAACGTGTGAATCTTTAGGAAAGCAGACTGCCACATCTTTCTCCCACAAAGCAGCTGACGGGTTTGAACCACCAACATTTTGGTTAGCAGCTGAGTGCTTTAACCACTGCACCACATATACATATATAACAACAACATTATCAGGACAGTATTATTCAACAAAGGAGCCCTGTTGATACAGTGATTAGGCATTCGGCTGCTCACTGAAAAGTTAGCAGTTCAAACACACCAGCTACTCCTCAGGAAAAAGAAACATCAGTCTGCTCCTAGAAAGGGTTATAGTCTTGGCAATCCCATCGGGGTATTTCTCCTGTGTTCTGTAGGGTCGGATGAGTCAGAATTGACTCGATGCCAATAGATTGGGTTTGGTTTTTATTACTGAACTTACCACATGTCTGGCATTATGTAAAGGGCTCTACATGTTTTCCTCACTGAATTAAAACATTCAATCTATTCACTCAACAAATATCAATGTGCCAGGCAGGCTACCAGGTACTGTGGACATAGACACAGGTAACAAAGGCATGGTCCCCACATGTAAAGAGCTAGTGGGCAGAAAATGAAGAGGATGCTGGTAATCAGAACACAGTGTGGTAGGCCTTGCGACAGGCCAATGTGTGAAGGCTATCACAACAAAGGGTAGGCCTGCAGAATCCAGCTCTGCTGCCAAAGTCCTGGAAGACTTTCAAGAGGAAGTGACACCGGAGCTTGGCCATAGAGAAGCAGCAGGAGTTTCTAGGAGAGAAGAGGAAGAGCAGTCTGGTATGCTGGAGCATCAGGCATAAGTGGGCAACGGCGCAGCGGGCAGGGGTCAGGGGTAGGATCAGGAAGGATGAGCCCTGAGTGCCGTGCTGCGGAGCTGGGTGGTGGGCGGCCATGGGAGGGGATGGCAGGGTCAGGTTTTCGTTTTAGAAAGCTCGGTCTGGCTGCAGTGAGGAGGCCTGGAAGCAGTGACAGCTGACAAGAGTTGCTGTGGTTTGGAAGCTGAGAGATGGCAATGCAGTGTTGCTGTTGTTAAGGGCCATCAAGTCAGTTCAGTCTCATAGTGGCCCTGAACAGGGCCTCCAAGTGTCAAACTTGTGGTTAATAGCCCAGTGCTTACCCTACAGTGCCACACCAGGATTCCACAGTGAGGAGGGCAGAAATGGCCATTATTGGCAAAGACTGGACTAACTCATCAAGAAAGACCAAAGGTTGAGGCTGACTCCCAGTTGCTGAAGCAACTAAGTAAGTAGTAGCCGTTTCCTGAGGGAAGGGAAACTGTCGGGGTGCGTAGTCAAGGGCCGATGAACTCAGATTTGGACATGAAAACAACCAGGTAGAAAGGGCCGAGAAGCGCTGGGTGAGAAGTCATGCCCCAGACTGTTCAGTCTCCCTGTGTCACTCTGGTTTTGTGTGTGTATGTGTGTGTGTGTGTGGGGGGTTCATTTTCCTTGCTCTTGCTGAGGCAGCTGGAGAGGAGGTCTGCCTAATTCTAAACCAATCATGGGTCCAGGAGGGTGTGACCTCCCAGGCTCCTCCACTCTGGATTCTGCTTGCTAAGACTACCAGGGAGAACCCACTCAACTCACTGTGCAGAGGCATTTGTGTAAGAAGCAACCACCAGTGCGTTTGCACATTAAACTTCCTCATAGCAATGTTCTAAAGGCTTCTTTACTCAAGATCTTCTCAGAATGGGCATCATATTAGGAGCTATAATGTACTGAACTCTGACCACTTCATGTGTGTGGATTAATTTAATCCTCCCAGGAACCCTAAGAAGTAGGTGTAACTAATTAATCTCATTAATTTTGCAGGCAAGGAAACTGAAGACCGGAAAGGTTAAGCAATTTGCTGGAGAGCACACAGATTGGATTCCAACCCAGCTTGGCCTTGGAGCCCATGTTCTTGCCTCCGATGCTGTTGGCTAACTAAGCCTGAGTCACATCCTGGTTCTCTGTGTCTTTAGTAGAGGGCTCCTCCCACTCACTCCCATCCTTAGGGGAAAGGTTTGTCCACTAAGAGCCCTGGTGTGTGGGCAAGGGCAAGCCCGTTGAGTACCTAGCTCGAGGTGCAGGGCAGGCTGGTTCCCAGCCAGGGTGGCATCAGGGGCAGCGGAAGGTGCAGGTGGGCTGTTGTGGAACTCCCAGCGCTTCATCTGGAGCTGCTGCAGCCAGTAGAGCATCACTTGCTTGGTAGCAGCCTGAGAAGTACAAGGGTTAGTTGGCACGGCCACGAACCTGGGAAAGTGGGAGCACTCTGGGACTGCTGGTCCTTTCTGGGTACTGGGCTGAAATGCAGGGGAGGTCATGGGAGGCTGTCTCCGTCCCAGAAACAAACAAACAAACACCACTACAGGGGACAGCTAGGGGCCCACTGCTGAAACACCGTATGTTTCTTGGCCACAGAAGACAATTGAGGCTCTCATCCCCCGTGCCTCAGTTTCCTCATCTGTACTATGGTGACAATAAGGCCCACTTCACAGGGTGGTTATGAGGTAAAGGAAGGAAGGGGTCCACCATCATACAGCAGGTATTCACACAGTGCTCAGCGGATAAAGGAATTGGGAGATGTGGTGAGGTGGGAAAGAGCTTTGGAACTCTGACGCAGATGGGGCCCTGGTGCCATCACGCTGGGCTCTAAGCTGAGGCACTGAAACCATGGGTGTGGATGGGGACAGGAAAGCCACATGCACACAGGAAGGTTATTAGTATAACAACAAAGTGGCATTCTCCAGCAGTGCCAGGACTCCAAACCAGTTAGTGGTCGAATACTGGCCATTAGTCATAAACGGGCCACACACCCACTTTCATATGTATGACCTCTGTGGATTCACCAGGAGGGAGGCACGACAGGAGTAATCGGCCCTTTCTACAGATGGAGAAACTGAGGCTTAGACGTCACTTAAGCAGATGGTGGTGGAGCTGGTCCCAGAACCCAGATCTCCCACTTCTAGATCAGAGCTTTGTTGGAGATTTATGGCTATAAGTAGAGAAAGTGTGAGCTCGGTTAAGGTGGGCCTTAGAGGGTGGGTGACTTGCAAGGAGGGGATGGTGAGCCTCACAGAGTCACTCACAAATCAAGACTACAATCAGAGTAGCAGCAGGCTTCCTGGCAAGCGACCTTTCTCAAGAGGCCCGCACGGGGCCTGGGGACTCCATGAAAGAGGCCTCAGCCTGTCACGAAGATTTCAAATGAGATAAAATGATGTCCACCAGTCTTCTTTCCACATGCTCCCCTGAGAGACTTTCAACCATGACAAGCTCCAGCCCAAGGCCAAATACCCCACTTTATCAGTTAATTTACCAAATTTACTGTGTATCACAGACTGCTAGGCATTGATGAGACTGTGGTGAACCAACATACGTGGTCCTTGTCCTCTTAGAATTTAAGAGTCTACTGAGGGGGACATAAATCTGGATGTCCCCGGGCTTCTTGTCAGGGACAAACCCAAGCAGCCAGCCAGCCTGTTACAACCCTAACTGCCCCCTCACACTCTATCTCCTAAACATGACCAGCCATCTCCACCCTGCCATCAGTGCCCTTGCTCAGCTTCATTCTCTCCTCATCACCTCCAGATAGATGGCCTCCCTGACCATCAGCGTCACCTTCCCCCTAACTTGCTCTCTACCCGATAGCCAGACTGAGCTTTCTCAACACTTTAGTCTCATGGCACATCCTTACTTAAAGGTCTTTCACAACTTTTCACAGTCTGCTGGACAAAGTCCAAGCTTTCGCCTAGTCCACAAATGCCCTGGCCTTGGGTCTCTGCTCTCAAAAGTCTGTCTTTTGGGTCCATTTGTTCCCCAGGATCCTGTGATTTAGACACTCTGGGATGTACTGTGTTTTCCTACCTTTGCTCATGCTGCTTTCTTGGTTTGGAATATCCTTCTCTCTTTTGTCTGCTGATAAAACCTATTTCCTCTCTCAAGCCTCAGGTGTCCCCTCTCCTCCAGGATACCCTTCCTGGCTAGTCCCTCCCATCTAGTGGAACCGATTTCTCTGTCATCACATTTTTCTACCACCACTAACATTTTACTATGTGTTAGTTTCCACATCAGTTCCTTCCCATCAGACTTGAAGCTGTCTGAACGTCAGTGGGGTAGGTCTGGTCTTCTTCACACCCCAACAATGTCTAGCAGAGTCAGGCACACAGACAGATCAATGGGATAGTCAAAACCATGTGTTGGAGACCTTGTATAAAGCACTCAACCTGTGGGAGAAGGGAGCTGTGGACCATAAAACTTCTAAAATGTCATCCCAGGCCTGAAATTCATGGTTTCCATTGTTTTAACCAAGCCCCCACCAGACAGAGCCAGTCAGTAAAACTAACTGAACCTGTGGGCAACCTCCAGGGGACTTGAGGGTTTGGTATAAATGGTAAGAAGATGGGGATGGGGTAGGAAAGGCTATCTCTTAGCCATACTCTTCACCGATGTTCACGAACTCTTGACCAAGTCTTGTCTTTCCAAATAAATTATGAGGCCACTGGCAATCTGACCTTGGTTCCACCACATTTATTGAGCACCTACTAGGAGCCACGCTATATTCTAGGTGCTGGAATACACCTGTGATGTGCCAGATGCTTTGTTTAAAGTCTCATGCTTTGTTTAAAGTCTCACAGGCTACCTAGATAATGAGAGGTTAAGTAACTTGCTCAGGGTCACACCACTAGTAAAGTAGCAGATACAAATTTGATTCCAAGCCTGTCTGATTTCAAAGCATTGCTTCAATCTACCTCATTTACACATGATAAAACAAAACCTACTCGTTTCTGTTGGTGGAAAACTGGTTCAGACATGCCTTGTAAAACCTGGGTTTAGCAGTGAAACCTAAGCATTCATCTTCCTAGTCCCTGCAAGCATTTTCCAGCATTAACTCCTTTTGGTCAAAATGTCAAGTAAAAAATGAATCAGATAGAAGACCCCAAAGCCCTGATCTTTACTATTCTTTAGTCCCAAGTATGAATGTTAAAGGTAAATGCTTTGTTAGGCTGACCCCAAAGTTAAAAGGTTTGACTGATGCTGCGCAAAGTTCCAAGACTACAGAAACCAAAGGACTAAACCAAGTGTATGTAGGGTACACTACTCTTGATGTATGATGCCTCTTTAAGACTCAATTTCTTGATTTGTAATAAGGGCCCATCATTCCTGCCTTGCCTACTTCTCCAGAGGTGGTGTGGGAATCCAGTAAGAAATGGGTGTGGATGAGTTTTGGAAAGAAGCATAAAAGTTTTGTTGGAGTCAATTTACTATAAGCACACCCCGTGCTCACTGTGCCCTGGGAACCAACCACGTCTGAAAAGGAGAAAATCTTCCCGTTTACCTTGAGGGTAATAACCCGGCTGGGAGTCTTGATTTCGAAAGTCCCCTCCTCAGCGTCCGCCTTGCAGTCAAAGACTGCACTAGAGACGTCGATGCTGTCCAAGGGGTTGGCATCCTGCGCGGTGCGCGAATAATACAGGTGACATTTCCTCTCATCGTAGAAGAACCAGCGGGATTTCCAGCCCCGAATGGGCCCTTTGCCGCCAAACTTACTCAAATATCCACAGAGTTTCTTCGGGGTCGCCTCCAGGGGCCGGGCACAGCCCTCCGACACCTCGGATGACAATATCTCGGGGACCCTAGCTGACTCCTCGGATCCGGGAACAGAGCTAGTCTCCAGGAGGTTCTCCCGAAAGCCCTCCATCTCTGCTTGTCCGCGATCACAGGGACAAGAATTCCTCAGTCTCACCCTGGCCAGGAGTCCGAGACTCAGCGGGCACCTTCGAAAGGGAGATACCTGGGCATGGGCGGAGACAGTGGTGGATCCGCCTGCAGGCCCAGGTGTATGCGACTCGAAGATTGCACACCCAGGTTCAGGCTGAGGTTACGCCCCTCTCGCTCTCCCTCCCATAAAACCACGCCCCCAGACCGCCTCCGCGGGCTCCGCCCAAGCCCGCCTACTTCCGGCTTCTCGTTGGCGGCGCTCGGCCATTTTTACTGAGGGCACTGTAGCCCGTAAGATGGGCCTAAGATCGGAGGTGTGGCGACCCTGAGCTAGGTTAAATGGGCAGAGAGATGCGGGCAGAGGCCGTGTCTTTGACTACACTGCCTTGGTAACCTGCGGAATAACAGATGGTCTCCTCTGGTGCATCTGGGTCGCCCGCTTTTTCTCCTCATGGCCGCGTGGGCCACCGTCGGAGAGTGCGGCCAATGGCTGAGAAGGATGCCGGCTCCACGACCAACTTCCGGGCGTGAGCGCCGCCTCGGGGTTTGGTTTCTTTTCTGCTCTGCTACTTCAGAGCCCGGTGACTTCACGGTCACGGCTTTCCTGTTACTCGTTGGACCGCGGTGACCGCTCCCGTGTGCGTCCTAACTCTCATCGCCTTGCACTGGGCAGCCAGGTTTGGCTGCGGAACTCTGCGAAGAGCAGCCGCTCGTGCAAGGCGAGGACCTTGATCACTCCTGGAGAGTGGCTGGTTCAGTTAAAAACCAAAGAAAAAGTAACTGGGATTTGACCAAGTTGTTCAACTTCCTGCCTCATCCCACCTGCTACACTGAATTGATCCCCGTCCCTCTTGTTCAATGCACATCTCACCCCTTGGGCCGTGCGGCCTTATACTGTTCACCTTTTTAAGGGCTTTGCTGTTTTTCTATTGCCCTTTCTAAAGCTCTCCTCTTTCTTTAGCTTCTCCCCACACCACCCTCAATAAAACCGTGCACTTATTGATGCTGCGATGTGGTGTATTGTAGATGTCAGGGTGCTGGAATCCATTTGCGGAATTTTCAGATTCCCACTCTTGAACGATTATTCAGTCTTCGTTTTGTCTTGTCTATAAAGGTGGAACTAGTGATAATACCTAATGAGCCCTGGCGTTGCAGGGGGAAAGCGCTGGGCTGCCAATCCACTAGCAACTCAGAGGGAGAAAGGGTTTGTGGCAGTTCGCTTCATATCACTTACTTAGGACATGTTGTCAGGAGGGACCAGTCCCTGAAGAAGGAAATCATGTTTGGTAAAGTGGAGGGTCAGTGATGAATTGACACAGTGGCATCAACAGGTTCAGACGATTGTGAGGATGGTGCAGATCGGGCAATGTTTAGTTCTGTTGTGCATATAGGGTCGCTCTGAGTCGGACCGGAGCCAATAACCACCGCCACCACAGCAGTATATGTTAGCCCTGGTGTGGCGCTGCGGGTTAATACACCAGACTGCAAAGCCCTTTGAACTGCAAGGTCGGCAGTTCAGGCTCACCAGCTGCTCCTCGGAAACCCTATACAGGGTCCCTATGGGTCGGAACCGACTCAACAGCACTTCAAAACACAACAACAGTATGGTTTAGGTTGTCTCAGGGGAGAAAAACAATAAAAAGAATATAAATGATAAGTTTAGGGGTATTAGAAGGGAACCTCTGTTGATTTAGATTCCAATGGCTGTACATTCTAATGTCTGCACTTCTGAGTATTACATCAGAACATGATCAACATTCGACCCCATTCTCTTCCTTTTTCCATGTGTTAAGTGCTGTTGAATCAGTTCTGACTCAGAGACTCTAAATCAGAGACTGTAAATCTTTGCAGGAGCACAACAAATTATTGAAAGCCTAATTTTTCTTCTACGGATGGCTAGTGAACCAGAACCTTTCCACCACTTTAGTATTATTAGTAGCGTAGTGGTTACGAATCGGGCTGCGAATCTTAAGGTCAGCAGTTTGAAACTACCAGCTGTTCTGCGGGAGAAAGATGAGGATTTCTGCTCCCGTACAGGTTTACAGCCTCGGAAACCCTGTACAGGGTCGCTATCAGTCGATTCTGTGGCACAAAACCACCACCACCGCTAGAAAGCAAGAAGTTAGCAGAAAGCGACACCTTGTGGCCTTTGTGGTGTACGGTGCAGCACTGTATTTGTGTAGGGCAGAACATTTGACTGGTTTTGGGGTGGCGATGAGTAGGAACTGCAACAAGCAATACTCCTACCTAAAACATATCCAAAATAGGCAGGTTAATAATATAGCAACTATAAAACCAATATATTTTAAGTTTACTTTCAACCCATTCATCTGGTGAAAGTATGGTTATATCAACCGAAGTATGTATTTTTTGTGTGTGTTCGGTGAAAGGGGTCATTTCATCAACTAATGAAAGATTACATTTTAAGTTATATGGACTTGTCTTCTATGCCACATTGTATTTTTACTCTTGTCAAGTGCTGTCAGGATTCATAGTGACCCTGCATAGGGCTTTTGAGACAGGTGGATTTAAACTACCAACTTTTAAAAAACTTTTTATTGTGAACTGAGTTAAGGTTTACAGGGCAGATCATTAATTTTACATCCCACAGATCATATACTTCATTTCATTACAATAATTGCAACCCCCTCCATGTATTTACCTCTATTCACTTTAACTCTTGCATTCCTCCCTGTCACCCAAGTTAATTTGTGTCTACCCTCTAGCCTATGAATAATTTTCCCTTCCACTCCATGGGAGAAAGATGAGGTTGTCTGCTCCCTTGAAGATTTAAAGCCTCAGAAACCCTATTTAGAGTCACTATGAGTCTGAGTCAGAACCAGCTCTATGGGACTTAACAACAACAGAAACATTACTTATTCAAATGTTTGTCTTATTATATAATGTACCTTTATATGCATAAAATACAGTAAAGAAACACTTCCAAATACACTTAAACATCTTTAGCAGAATGATTTTGTGTTGTTAAGTTCCATTGAGTTGGTTCCAACCCATAGTGACCCTGTATAGTGTTTCTGAGAAGCAGCTAGTGACCCACAGTGAGAAGCAGTTGGTGAGCTTGAACCAGCGACATTACAGTTCAAACCAACTTTGCAGTCCAGTGCACTAACCCACAGCACCATTCCAGGACTCCATAATAATAATAATAATAATGTTCTGATGCACATGGCCTGCTTGCAATATACTGAAAAGCAATGCCTATTTGTTATTACAAACCATACAGGTTCCTCAAATTATTAATATAATAGGATTTATGGGTTTGGTTTGTAACTATGAGCTATACGTTAGCCAGATGCATGAATGTTTAGAACCAGGGACTGGCTGTAAATGGGAAGCCTTTTGTTTATAACTATGGGTTTTATTTAAGTTGGATGTCTGGATGTTATAAGCCACTGTTATACAGGGATTGCCTGTAAATGGGAAGTCAAAAGAGTAGATGGGAGCTTACAAAGAGTAGCTTCATGTGTCCTGTATCTCTTTCTCAAGTTGATTCTATCAAAGATACTATAGTATTGGTTGTCATTATAATTTGTTCCTGTTTTAAGAGGAGCCAGGCATGTTAAAAAAAAGAATACAAGAGTGTACAAGATTTATACTACTATTTATACTTTCCTGTCTGTAATTTATAGTCTTTGATATATAATTTCATTTTCTCATCTTGTTTTTATAAGCTCTTGTTTATAAGACATATGAGGAGAAATAAAAAAGTATTGCTACAAAAAAAAAAAAAAATCCTTTTCAGATAGTTCCATTACCTTTTCTTCCTCAGAAATTAAAAAAAATTTTTTTGGTCTCTGCACATTGGTCATTTGGAGTTTTTCTCTCTTGTTTCTTTATGTAAGTTAAAACATCTATTTTCTCTGGTGCATTATGGGCTTGACATGTTGTTGTTGTTGTTGTTAAGTGCCATCGAGTCGGGTCCGACCCATAGCGACCCTGTATTGGGTTTCCGAGGGTGTAAATCTTTACGGGAGTAGAAAGCCTCATCTTTCTCCCGCGGAGCGGCTGGTAGTTTCGAACCGCTGACCTTAAGGTTCGCAGCCCGATTCGTAACCACTACGCTACCAGAGCTCATATGTGTATTTAATTGATTATTGTAAGTCGATGTGTTCTCAGGCTTCTGTGGGTGTAGTTAGAGAATGGAAGTGTGTGCACCATTCCTGCTCACTGTTTGTGCACCTCAGTTTAGTTAGGATGGATTTTCCTTGTTTTGACTGCTGTCTATCATTGATTAGGTGGCATAGGAGCAGGTATTGGTTCTTGCCCAGTGGGTGGAGCTGCAGAAAGCACGGTTGTGGCTGGGCTGTATAGGGCACAGTTGCTGTCTCCAGTTGGGTGGGTAAAAGAAAATACCTCCCTCCTCCCCTCCACAAGAAAACAAAACAGAATAAACAAATAAGGAATAAATAATGAAAATATTAAATAATAAACAGACAAAAAGAAAACAGGCAGCAACCAGAAAAAAGAATTTAATAAATATAAAGACAAAAGAGAAACTGGAAATTTGAGCTATAGAAGAGAAAAAAAATAAAGAAAATTAAAGATTTGAATTTGTTCTTTAATTTTTTTTCAGGTTGAGAAATGCTAAGTGTGTTCTTCCTTTTTGGTTTTCTAATTCCAGGTGTTTGTACATTTCATTATAATACTTGATTTTGTTTTCTCGAGCTATCCTTTGAATTTTTCTGTTCAGCTCTTTGACTTCTTCATTTCTTCCTTTTACTTTAGCATGTTTACACTGAGGAGCAAAGTTTATAGTCTCTTCTAACATCCATTTTGGGTTTTTCTTTCCTGTCATTTTAATGACCTTTTGCTTTCTTCCTGTATGATGTTCTTAATGTCATCCCATAACTCTTCTGGTTGTCAGTCATTAGTGTCTAACACATCAAATCTGTTCCTGAGATGGTCTCTAAATTCAGGTGGGATATGTTCAAGATCATATTTTGGTTCTCGTGGACTTGT